TCAATTAGTTTTATGATATATATATATATATATATGTAACATGAAAATTAATCTTTTTATGTTATCCTAATTAATTATTCTGATCAAAATAAAAGCCACATCCTGTTCTTAAATCAATTTTTGGCTCAGGTATGCATTTAATTAAAAGCAAGATATCTTTCCCTTTGCTCTGTGTGGGAATCAAGCGACCTATTTTATAAACCAATTACAATTTCTAAGATTTCCCTCTTTCCCTAAATTGAAACATTTTACGGATTTTACTTTGCAAGACTATATCAAACATATAACCGTCCCTAACATTTAACCGAGGAGCGCAATTTTTCGTGTTCACTTTCACACTTTTTCATGACTGCTCTGTTTTATAATTGATAAATAAATTTTGTACCCTCCTTACCGGCCTAAGACCTGTTTTAATCCTTCCACTCGGCAACGACGTTATATATATATGTAAGATTGACACAAACCCAATTTTTAAGGGGAAATGCAGGAATTATAAAACTTAAACAAGTTTAGCAAAAAGATGACGCAATTAATCTGCAGATAATATTATTCGGTTTGTTCACTAAGTGCGTAAAGTTTTATAGTCAATTTTTACAATTAGATTATTCTTTGGTATGACTGTAATATTAAATTACGTTTGTCATAAATTATTTACATTTTAAGTAGCTGTCTATAGCCACCAACTGGTTTGAAATATTTTTCAAACTGTTGATGTACATTGTTTCAAATGAAAGTTATATTAAAAGCATAAATTTATGTGTTAATACTCTTATTTTAGCTAAAACCGAAAACTGTAACTTCTGTCACGGCAGAGGAGATTGTTTGCGTGATGACGAAGACAGAACATTTTGCAGGTTAATATTCATGTTTTAGAGTTAAAATTGTTCTTTTTTTACATCGGGAATTTCTTCAGAAATTTGTATATTCACATGAAATATACATACTGATTTTTGTATCAATTTGTATTTTAGATGTCAGCCTATGTTTGTCGGCCGCCGCTGTGAAATCAATGGCCTTGGTATGTTTCTTTTTTTTTAAATGACGTTAGAAATATAATTGAATAGTATTTGTAAAATTTTCATAGTACCTTAATTTGAAGAACATACGAGGTATTTTCTTAGAAACGTAGTTTTGTAAAGAGTGGGAACAATTTCATAAAAGCATAATTTGTGTTACATTGAAAAAAGATAGCTAAATAAATGAGATGCAAATTTGAACAAAAAATTTTTTTCAAAAAAATTTATTCTTTTCTGCTATTCTTTGCTCAAAAATGCTATTCTATTCTATTAATGTTATTCTATTTAATGTTATTCTTTTTTCAAGAAACAATGTCCCAGTAATTGGTTCGCTGTCTACAAGCAAAAATTATAAATTATTCTGAATAATGCTTTATCAAAAATTAATTTCCACTCAATTGATTTGCAAACTAACGGCTGAAATAAAATAAATTATTGTAAAAGGTACATTCCTCAATTAAAATTATAAAAATCATTGAAGTTTTACAAATGTTTTTCTTTTTTTCATCACTTGAAGTGATAGTTAGACCTTTTTTAACAATAGTTAGCAGAACTGAATAAAAAAATAGTTTTAATCATACTAGCGTTTCTTTATTATATTTAACTAAAAATAATGATATGGTAAAATATGTAATATTTCATCATTGAGTACTTAAAAGTAATAAAAAAATTATAATACCATTTTAAATGTGAAAATTGTTTAAAGGAAAAGAATAAAATAATTTTTGTTATTCTAAAACCTTTTTCGTTTTTGATATTAATTTCATTCTGATTAAGTCAATTTTATCTGATCTAATATTTAAAAGTCCAATATTTTATTTAACTACTATTCGTTGCGTGAAAATTTCAATTAGTTTTATGTTATCTTTGATAAATAAACGTAGTTAATGTATTTAAAAATATTATTTTAAGTCTTTCTGGGCATTTTTATCGGTCAACAAAACATTAACAATTTTTTTACTGAATCATCCATCAAGCCTAGAAGCTACAAAAATGTTTACATAAATTTCACTCAAATGCCTAAATTTCACTAAATATAATATTTAACTCACTCACATTTCTAAACTTATAAGTCGCAACCCAAACTTGATTCTCAATGTATTCATTATAAATTAATCACTTGTTTTTCAAGCTTAAACTTTTCTATGAATGCAAGTAAAAAAAATTTCAGTTGGCCGTAATCATTGCTCGTGAATTTATTTTTAGAATCCTTATATAAGCGAAGTCAAGTCAATAAAGTACTCTCATGTCACCAGTATTTTGTAATGCTCCAGACTAATTTGTAAAGTCTCTAGAATTTTCTAACGTGTCTTATATTTTTAGACTAATTACTGATAGCCTATATTACGAAATGAGTAGTTACTCATGCAAACTTAATTTGCTTACGGTTACTGCAATAGACCAATTACAATAAGCCATTAGTACTTTGGGTATTTATTGCATTATATTTTATCCAATATATTATGTGCAATATTCTATTTTTTATAACCGTCATCAGCTGATCCAATTTTGGGTTTACGACTACTAATGTTCAACTCCGTAACCTTGTAATTTTGAACCCAATCCAGAAGACAAGGGAATTCCTGTATCAAGTATTGGGAGAGATTTGCCTTCGTGGAGGTCTTTTTGATGGAACTAACCCGCATTTGCGTTGCATGGAGAGGAAGACCACGAGAACCTCCCACGGTTAGCCTGACGACAAAGGGACTCTAACCCATGATCCATCTACCACTGAGGATATTTCACGTCAGTACTGTGGCCGGTGCAAGCTGGATGCGGAATTCGTATCGACTGGGATTCGAACCCGGTTCACCTCATTGGAAGGCGGATGCTCTATCCCCTGAGCCATTGCGGCTCGTCCGAAATAAATTAGGCTAATTGGAAACGGAATGATGCACTATTTTTCAATTATCCTAACGGTATTGGGCCCACTTGAATGAAACTAAACCGTGTGAGGCTTATTAGAAAATACTGGAGACTTTTCCAACTAAAAGTGACGGTGGCTGTTTGCAAATAGCTGAATGCAAATAGCAATAGCAAATACGGCTGTTTGCAAATAGCAAATAGCTTCTATTAGCCTCTTCGACTAAACCATTTTTTTTCAACAACTGGGTTTTCTCTTTTCGAAATCATGAGCTTTATATAATTTTATGCATTTATAAACTTAAAATAAATCTTTAGAGCACCAAGCCCATCTTGCAGTGGCTAAAAAAGCTTACAGAATCTTCATTAATTGATATTGTTCAATGTTTGATCATGTAATAATGGATTTTCTAAAAATGTTATATTTTGAACCTAAGATGATAAATTAGTATTGGTAATTTTCATAATGCAATTTCTTGCATATAATGCAAGTAAAATATTTAGTTATTCCTTAAATTTACAGGATAATAAATCAGTTCTGCTCTTACATTGCAGTAGTTCAAATTTTGTCAGAATTGATTTTAATTTTATAACTTCTATTTTAGTCTTAGCTATTGCACTGCCTACTGCTGTAGCCCTTGTAGCTGTTTTGTTGTGTTTCGTACTGTGTTGCTGCCGAAAATGCAAGAAGAAATCTTCCACAAACAATACCGATCCTAGTAGCGTATTCAGAGGAATCGCTCTCAAGGGTCCAGTTGGTGGAACACTGGACAGGAAGGCCATGATTGATACATCTAGTGAAAGCAGTGGTGAACACGGCCGGAAAGGAATTCCTTTCGAGGGATATCAGGTACATACAGTACATTACTACACGGAGAAAAAAATATTCTGATAAAATTAATTACCATACTGTATGGTCATGACATTTCTGGTAAAAAAAAGCATAATTCTGGAAATAGAAACCAAAATAAACGGTACAACCTATTCATTTGATAATTTTTCTTTGCTATAGTAAAGATTTATTGAAAATTCTGGTTTTCGAAATTAAAGTTCTTTTACCAAACATTTAGCAAAAAATACAAAACTAAAAAGCAAATTTAGACGAAGAAATGATTTTAATGCCTTCCTTTAAGGTATCATGATAAAATTGCCAAATTTAACCTTATTTACAAAACTTTATCCCATATTATAAAACCATATTTTATTGTTAATTTTACCAAAATCATTAGCAAAATCGCTCGGTAAAATTTACCGAGCTTTCAGGTGTTCTCATAGAACCAGAAATATGGTAAATTTTACAGTATGTTTACAGTTTTGACCATACGTTTTTCTCATTGTGAGTTTTCATTGTTTTTTCACAAAAACAATACACCTAAACGCAGCTTAAAACAACCGAAGTCAAAGAGAAAATATCACTCAATTCGATTTGCCTATTTTTGTTGACAAGGGAAGGGGTCTAAATTCTGAACAAATATACTTGTTTAACATTTTAACAGTCTTTGAATTAGCGTATTTAATAGATTGATTTTGTGACATTTATAATATCCACTTTTGCTGGAACCATAATTCAAACTTTTCATTTACTTCTATCAAACGTCTCATCACTTACGCGGATGCCTTTAAATTAGTTTACAATGCAATGATCTTGTTAATATGTAATTATGATAACTATTAGAAACACACTGTATTTAATTATAAAAGAACTTGAAATTAAATTATGATCAGCTTAATAAAATTCATCTTACAATACATGAATGAATGGATTTCCTTAAGCTACACCTCCTGCACGATTACTTGATTACTGCTTGATTATATGTACCATTCATCTAGCTACTAGACTGTAAGAGCCACACTAATTGAACTTGTTACATTTGAATCTAAAATTGCTACATTTAAAACTAAAATTTACTACTTTTGAAATTAAAACTGCTACATTTTAATCTGAAATTGCTCCATTTGAGCCTAAAATCGCTGCATTTAAATCTATAATTGCCATATTTGAATCTAATTTTTTTTTAAATATATAAATATGAAAAATCTCGAAAATATTTCATTTCATGTTAAAAGAAATTTTTTTAAGATATAAATTCGCTTGACATATTCACTGAAATATTTTATGATTTATAATGATGGTAATATTTATAACTTTAATTAAAATATGCACATTTAAAAATAGAGTGATATGTTTTTATATATCCAGAATTAGTATATTTTGTCTTTGATCATGCATTTGGAAAAGTTTTTCATTAGATGAATGCCTTTTAATTGCAGTGTTGCAATCGAATTAAATTTATAATTATGCAAATCATTTTTAACTAGATATATAAATAATTTTTTAAGGAAAGTATTTATCAAATAACTCTTGCATTTATCGAACTATTCAAAATTAACTATTTCATGCCGAATACCTGAGCCATGATAGAAAAAATATTTTTGTTATCAAGTGCAAAATATTACACTAGTCTTAAGGTTTTGGTTTGGGAAGTTAATGAATTTGTTTTTTCTAAAAGGTTCATGTCACGTTTTATTATTTTTGTGACCAAAAACTGCATAGTTTAAATTTTACATCATATTAAAAATCAAAATTTAAAAGTATTTAAAGAATTATAGTTTTTATTCCAGTTACATTAGATTTACAATTATGACTTTTCAAAAACGCTTAGAGCCACATTAATCTGTTTCTTCCCAAAACCACAAATTTAGACACAAAAGGAAAACTTTCTCTAAAACTTCTGATCCAATAAACCTGATACTTTTTAGATTAATTGAAAGAGAGCTTCTAACCAAATATTTATTCGAAAACGTTTTATTAACAAATTGAAATGTGTTTTTTTCTTTTTAAAAATTATTGAGCGATACTAAAAAAATATTTTCTAAAAATACTTTATACATTATTTTTAAAAACGCCCTATCTAAATTTATGGAAAGTGTATAAGTATTGCTTGAAAAAATTTCAAGCTTGTGCGTATAGTCAATTTTTAGAAAATTCTCCGGAAAAATGACATTTCTAAAGATAAACGGATATAGATTTTCTGCTGCATAAAGGAACCCACTTAAGTATGCATTTAAGTAATGCATCGAATAGTTTCAATGGAAAAATTGCACTTTGTATGCAAATTAGTGTTTAATTAAATTTTAGGAAGTATAAAAATGGCACGATTTATTAATAATAGAGTTATTTAAAAAGCAATTATTAATTTACTTTTATTTGAACCGATTGAAAGAAACTTCATATTTATTGCTTAAAATTTGAATGTATATAAATTAATGAAACATACAAAGATTGTAACAAATTGTCTTTTTATTTTAATTATCGATTATTTTCTAATTTCATAATTTATTTGCTTTACTTTGAAATGTAATGAAATTATGTACGTATTTATTGTGCTTATTTATTACTTCAAACTTTTAAAATGCATAAAGTTTTAAAGCATATACTTATAGATTTTAAAATTTTGTATATAAATAATTACTTTATTTTAATTTGAAAATTTTTCAAAGAATTAATCTTAAGATGTATATGCTTAAATTAAGAAAACAGTGACGAAAATGTATACATATTATAAATTTATTAATAGCTTTAAATTTTTAAAAATGTATTTAAACGCATGAAATATTATAATTTAGTTTTAACAAAATATTTTTTAAATCTTAAATCATATACTTTACTTAGAAAAATGGTGTAAAATCGATTTTAAAATCTTAAGTCATGTACTTTACTTAAGAAAGTGGTATGGAATATTTTTTTAAATGTTAAGTCCTAACATTCATATACATTACTTAGCAAAATGGTATAAAATATATTTTTTAAAATGGTATATCTTAACATTCATATGCTTTACTTAGGAAAGTGGTGACGTCACTCCTTACAAAGGTAGCAAAAGAAGTGACCTCAGTTTAAATAGGAGTTTATCTACTGGATATACATCTCCACCAGTCATGATACCTAGAGCTCGTCAACCTCCACAGACGCCTGGCGGAAAACCTATGAACTATACTGTGTATGATGGTCAAGTGTACGTTTGGTAAATACAATGGACGCAGGGCGTCAAATACACGCAATCAAACTGTTCTTCTTATTGGTCAGTGCCACAAAATTGGGCCGTTTGACCATTTGTGCCACATACTTTTAGTGACAATGTAGGAATGCGCAAAGAAAAAAACTCGAAATAACGTTAAACACCTCAAAAAGTGCAAAGAGTTTATATTTACAAAAAGCCTCATGTTGTTTGAGGTTTTTTATCTTTGTGTGCTAATGACTAAGAGTTGTTGCATAAAGCGAATATGCAATGATGCCAATCCGTGCAGAAACTATCGAATTTTTACATCTTTGAGATGAATGATTGATAATCTCTCACGGACAATTTGTTGCCAAACGCAAAACTGAAACTATTTTTACAAATTACTGTGCTAACGATGTCACAATCAACAGGATGCATGAGGACACCTCAGGACAATACCTCATGACAATGATGTCTGCTATATGTCCCCAAATTGTCCATGAAACAAACTCTAGTGCTAACAGAAAACTGCATTTTTCTTGCCTTAAATATAACGCCAACTAAAATTGAGATTGATTAAATTATTTTTTTAAATTTGTATCGCATATTTATTCTGGATGTTCTAATTTGTTTTAAATTCTTTTACATTAATCAAAGTATTGTCTGCAAAGAGCTGTTTAATATAATTTATTTTCCTTTGATATTTGAGGCTATTGATTCACGTATATTATAATCGATAAAAAGACATTTGGCAATCAAACACCGGTTCACATTAGCAATGATAAGTTTTGTCAATAAAACTAAGTAAGTGTAACGTCAGATTCGAAAACTTACTGAAATATTTCTCTGAGACTGACGTCATTCTTATCAAGTTTTAATAGACATAACTTAACGTCAGGTCCAAGTATTGAACCATAAATGACAATTATAAAATAGCACTCCGTTTAATCAATACGCTTTTATTTATAATTTACGAGCAATGTTTAATAATTTTGTACAAAGATTTGCATGAATGTGTTTGCTATTATGTATTTTTTTTTAAAAAAGTGGACTTTGTGAAAATGGCGTTTAAAAAAAACATTTGTATTATAACATTTTAGGAGATTTGTATAGGAGCTAACACTATCAGGTCGTCTTTGTAACAAAGTGCTCAATAAAGTTTTTGTTGTATGATTGCGTTGTTGCTTTTTTTTTTGGTTCAATATGTTTTAAAAACATGGAATTCAAAATTATTTCACTATTAAAGCAAAAAGAAAATAGACACTTTCACTTCAAGAATTAGAAGATTACGGATACCTATGACGTGACTTTATCACGGATACCTATGACTATCATGTGACCTATGACGTCAGCACCAGCTGATTATTTGTAAGTAAGGCTCCTATACTATACTAATTCAGGGGCTCTATTTGTAAGCAAAATAGCGTGCTGACGTTGAGGTAAGTTTCTCCTCATAAATTAGAATGTTAATTAACGTGAAGTTAAATAAATACAACGCCGTATCACACGTCAAATTTATTAAAATATAATTTTTTTCCCATCTACGTCTTTTACTTAACTTAGATTTATTATTTTTTCATGCATTTTATTGTAACTGTGATATTGAAGGAGGATTTTATTATCGACTATGTCAACCTTCATCTATCAAAAGATACCTCAAGATAGAATCAAGTTAACATGTCTTATATAGTAGTGATTTGGTATTTAATATTTGTAGTGGTAGTTACGCCACAATATATTTTTATTTCGTGTGCGTGGTCACTTCGATGCATAATTAGTTTGTTTATGTTCTAAATGACTTCATGCCTGTCTTTGTGTTAGGTATGAAAAATATTTTCTGAAGGGATTTAAATCTTTGTGAAAAATTTTTTGTGTATATCGCTGAGGAGAATTAGCACTTGCCGGGCTTTGCTTACTCGAAATAGAATATAAAGAACAGTTGCTAACTTAAACAAATGCCACGTTTCAGCAATGAATCAGAATCCAGGTACCCACACTCTGTCACTTGTAGGTATCCCATTAGAAAAATTTAACTTTATTGTTAGTTGGAACTATTATTTTCTTTCATTTTAATATCACTCATGCAACCCTCCATTTGTGCAATTAATCTCAAATTACTATATTCAAGTTAAGTTAACTCAAACATTCAGCAAATTATATTTTCGCATAATTTTATTTAAGAATATAAAATTTTAGAAGACTTTTCAACAAATGGGTTTTTTCTAATTATGCTTAATGGGATTATGTATAATCTGGTTACTATGTATAATCAGTGCAGAGAATGAGCTTACGACAATGTCAACTTTCACTTATCAGAAGGTGCCCTAAGATAGAATCAGGTTAACTGGTCTTATATAGTGAATTGGTATTTAATATATTTGTAGTGGTAGCCACGCTACAGTACTCCCTTCCCAGAATTTTATCTGTGAAAGATTTCGATAAATGGATACCATACCACTTAGTTGATTTATTGTTGTTTTCGTGAGAAACCTGGAGCGCTGTATATAGATCACCAGATTTTTAAAACTGATCGTGAGAGCTCAAGGTTGTGTGCTTGGTGGCTCCAGTGTTTGCTATTAACAGTCGAGTAGGGATAGGCTTCGTTGTGAGCGATCGAGACTGAGAAGCAACAGCGCGAAAGGGGCAATGCCGCATCGCAAATAGCAAGTCAAGTGTTCACAGTGGACCATCCATCGAAGTAGGCGCGTTATAGTCGAAGTGAGCGATACTGTCGCTGGGCATGGTCAGATCAAGTCCGGGGTCACCAATGTGGAGAATGAGATTTCGATAACATCAACCTTCATCTATCAAAAAGCACGGGGAAGTAGAATCGAATTAACATTTCTTATATACTAGTGTATTGGTATTTAATAATTGCAGTGGTAGGACAATCAGATTACGCAACAATCAGATTATATAAAACTAAGTCTAATAGGTTACTTTAATTGTTAAATAATTATGCTAAAATCATCAGTGAAATTCGAGTATGTACATATTTGGGGGAAAATATTTCTCGAATAAATTATATCCAAACCAATTTATTTAATCATTAACAAATTGAATTAAGACATTACTTAATTATTGAAACTTATTAACATTTTCAAAAAAAATTGGTTCAACTTAGAATCACTTTACCATGCAAAGTTTAAGCAACTTGAATTTGAACCATGTATTGGTACAAGTTATACCTTGATATTGTGTGTGGTGACGCTTGTTGTGAGATGTCCAATTTTAAAGTCAACATAAGCATAAAAATATTATAAAAATTACATCGTTCGTAGTAAGCTTGAAATTAAATGTCTGAGTTTCTTAAAGTTTTAAAATATCATATCATCTTATTATCTTGTAAATAAAATGTATAATACGCGAAAAAAAAGAACGGACACCCTAAATAAGTTTTATCTAATTATCGGATTATCATGTTCTAGGACACAATCATACTATATCGAGAGAGTGACTTCAAGTATGATAATTAGTTAGTGGAAACGATATTTTAAGTTAAGAAATTTAGACACAAAAATGATTTTCGGTAAATAATTTACCTTTTCTCGACTGATTCGGTTTTCTGACCTTCAAAATATAGAGGATAGCCGTAATATAGCAAAAATGGTCCTCATAGTTTGGACAGGAAAGCTGTTCAAAGTTTGAACCCTTTAAGGTTGATTTTACTTTTTGCTTATTTCTCCATATTTTGAAAGCTTTCAAAGCTAATTTTAAAAAAATTTACTCTAAATTATAAAATGCATTTATATAAAGATAATACCATACTAAGAATAGCTTTTAGTAAATATTAATCCTTTTTTCCTATTTAATTTAATAATAGTCGAAAAATTTTGAATTACAAGGTATTCAATATTTTACATTATTTTAAGAAATATCATGCTACCAAATGCAAAATTTGAGCGAAATTGATCAAATATCTCTTGAGAAATCAAATTTTTAAAAAGTTTTATTTTTATATTGTTTTATCATCTTTTTGTTTAATTGTTTCGGCACTTAACCTCTTAACCAAGATTCAGAAGCACGGCAGTATGGTTGTGGCAGATTTGAGCGATATTACGGTTAAAACTGCTCCAAAATTTCAAACAGTGTAGTATGCTGGTAAAGTAAGTGTGGGAGGTTTAATTAGCAAAAATTCAGAATACGAAACAAGTTTGTAAATTGCAATTTTTATTTCTTAAATAAAGATAGGCTGAAAAAGTACACAATAAAGAATAAATAATTATTCATACTTTTCATTGATAGACAGCAATGTGTACAATTCTGAAAAGAACACAAAATACTCTAAAGTTACATGAATGTGCGATAAAATACATCAATACTTGATGACTAGATCATAAAACATTGACACACGCAGATTAACACTGAGATTACTTGGTTTACATTTGACTTGATGAACTGAAACAATACGTCCAAAACAAAGTTTTCTTTTCATTGTTTTATTTTTAACTGTACAGTCCTTGCAAATATTTTTAGTACCAATTCACAATTTGACATTTCTAATAAACAAATATATGGACTGAATTTACTCTTTGGGGGTTCATTCTTTTTTTTTCTTTCATTTTGGCATTTATTATATTAATTGTGTTGCTACAGAAAATCAGGACGTTCAAATAGATGCTGGAAACAACCTAAAAATATATAAATTCAAATCATTAAATTTATTACATTTAATCAAAATTTGAATTTTATTTAAAATTAATTCAAATCACTAAATTTAATGCAGCTTGTACATCATCTGAAATATATTTCGTCCTATTATGTCTAAAGCTAGGAGTTAATTAATTTAATGAATAATTTAAATAAATACGAACTAATGTATTAAATATTTCATCTAAACTTTCTCTCTCTCTCTCTGTATACACACACATATATATATATATATATAATTTGGAAATTTAAGCCATAAAATTGTTCTCAATATAACCTAGTTTATAAAATGAGAACAAAGCTTAAGTAATTGTAACGGCAAATACTGTAAACCACATAACATCAAATAACTAGCAGTATNATATATATATATATATATAGATAGATAGATAGATAGATAGATAGATAGATATATATAGATAGATAGATAGATAGATAGATAGATATTAATACCTTTTCAGTCAAGTTTGTAGATTTGTCATTCGAAATTGAACAATGAATATCAAAGTAAAGTAATTTAAATTCTATATAAAATCACTGAGTTAATTGTATGTTATAATTATTAATAAATTTAAATTTCTTTTATAGCTAAATTTATATTTTTATCATGTGCAAATCCAATTCAGGTGAATCCATAGCTAAAAATCTTCTAATACTATATAAGGAATTTTTTTTCAATAAATATTAATTCCTTCTTCAAAATTACCAGTATTAAAATTTCATAATTAAAAATAAACTTTATTAATTATAAACTCGGAATTATCCAGCATAATATTATTATCTAACACACATCCAGTTTCAGGCTCATCCAAGTTAACTAACAAATCAAACGCGCTTCTGAACTTTAGTAAGAAGGAGCTTTAAAACGATCCCATTATCCTATATTTACGCTTCTATTTTCATATTTTGTGATCTGGCGAACTTGTTAAGAAAATATTTTAAATCAGTTTCGAAAGATGCTGGTAAGTGTTAGTACATTTGAATTCGCTACTCGCTTTATATATTACATTTTGTGTTTATTTTGTATTTCCTTGAATTTTTATTTTTTATTATTTAATTTTTACTTGATATGTTTTGTTTGGAATTTTTTTGCTTAATATGTACCATTTTCGTTTCATTTTTTTGGTGCTCCTCACACTATTGCATTGAGATTTTCTTCTTTGGCAGTATTAATACAAATATTAGAAAGCACTCTTTTTTTCCGGATATAATAGTATGAGCTGATGATGAGATTATATTTTTTTCTCATTTTCTTTCCGATATTTTAATTTCTAATATTTTTTTTAATTTTAATTACTTTACTAAGTTTTTTTATTTCTTAATATTTTTTCTTCTTCTCTTAAAAAAGTTTAGATATATATTTTTCCACGTAGTCTTCATACTTTTTACTTTTTTAACACTCTGTCTTTCCACATAACCATGATATGCAAAAAGCTCTCACCGATTTGAAAGGACATGCTATTGAAAGTAAGGGACAGGCAATATGAGTCCTTGATAATTTCAATATAAATCATTAATGGGAAATTGGTAAAAAAGGCCCTTTTGATAATAAAAAATAAAAATATTCAATTTGTTTACTCGAAAATGCAATCCATTAAAATTAGTTTTGAGTTTTACCGAAATCAGCAATAGTTCCACAGGTTCAGCAAAAGAGTAGAAAAAAAATAGCTGATTACGCTAATGTTAACTAGACTTGTAAAAAAAGAACAAGGTTTTGAAAAGGGTTCGAACTCTTGACATGAATAAGCAACTATTGAGCACATGCTTTAATCTCTTGAAATAAATTATCGCAGATAATTAAAAATTACAAAACTACTATAGATTAATTTGACTAACGAAGCTTCCCATCTTCTCAATATGGGTGAAAGTGAAGTATTATTTAACATTCGTTCTGATAAAATAATGAGAGAAATGATCTACTTTTATCCAAATGGCAGCAGGAAGAAATTGATCGAATGTTTTCATGAGTCAATATCAGGAACCTTTTAGTTGCGATTTATGTGGCCCTGTATTGCGGGTACCCATGGTAGAAATGGATCGAATGTTTTCCTGAATCAAGAGCAAGAACCCTTTAGTTGCTATATATGTGGCCCTGTATTGTAAGTACCCATGGTAGAAATGGATCGAATGGTTTCCTGAATCAAGATCAAGAACCCTTTAGTTGCTATTTATGTGGCCCTTTATTGTGGGTACCCATGGTAGAAATGGATCGAATGTTTTCCTGAATCAAGATCAAGAACCCTTTAGTTGCTATTTATGTGGCCCTGTATTGTAAGTAGCCATGGTTGAAATGGATCGAATGTTTTCCTGAATCAAGAGCAAGAACCCTTTAGTTGCTATTTATGTGGCCCTGTATTGTGGGTACCCATGGTAGCAATGGATCGAATGTTTTCCTGAATCAAGATCAAGAACCCTTTAGTTGCTATTTATGTGGCCCTGTATTGTAAGTAGCCATGGTAGAAATGGATCGAATGTTTTTTCTGAATCAAGATCAAGAACCCTCCAGTTGCTATTTATGTGGCCCTGTATTGCGGGTACCCATGATAAAAATGGATCGAATGTTTTCATGAATCAAGATCAAGAATCCTTTAATTGCTATTTATGTGGGTCCTGTATTGCGGGTATCTATCTTTCCCACACTGCACACTCAGCTACCCCATAGTGTGGGTAAAGACGGGTACATTAAAAATGTAAAAAAAATATCTTAATAACTAGATAAATTGAATTCGTTTCAAAATAAATATAAACACTATCATTAAAACAAGCTAACTGATCATTTTTTAATTATCTTTTGAAATTTTTTCGATACTTTTATTTTGTTATCAATGCCCATCTTTCCCTTGCCCATCCTATGTGCATTAGTTTTTTTTTGTCCGTTAGAAAGAAATCTTTCTGAAACTAAAGATATGTTCTCATTTTATATCACCGTGATTTGATTATAAAATAAAAATGTAACACTCTTGAAATATATCTTAATAACACCTGTTATCAATTAAAAAAATTGCTGTAAAATAAAACCCTTAGCCCCAAGAGTATAGCATAAAAGCACTTTCTAACTCCAGCTTATTTAGAGATCAATTTTAAAGTCTGAGAAAGAGGGTCGATTTTTAAAGGCTATTCACCAATTAAACAATCAATAATAATTTCCAAGGAGTGACATAATTAATCTCTATGTACCCGCTGAAAAATATTTTATTTATTAAAGGGGTTTAATGTATTCATGCTCTCCTAATGTTTACATACTTTTGACGCAAAACTTACACTCAAATTAATTACTGTTTGAAAATTTTGCAATTAATAATATGCTAATGGAATATTTATTATGGATTCTAAGAGAAAAATAAACTAGAGAAAGGCATTGGGGAGAAAGTATTTTATGTACGCGAAACTTCTGGCAGTATATTTTTAATCAAAATAAGATATTTCCATAAATTTGAAAAGAAAATTAAGCTCCTTGTGGTCTCATTATATATCCAAAGGGAAAAGACGCCTTTTAAAATATGTGATAATACAGACGATATTGACATTGCAAAAAAATAAAATTTATGGCTAAAAAAAGGCGAAAAGCATAATTTTTTAAACAAAGAATGGAATGAGCAAACAATATTTAAAAAATTATAGGGTTAAAAAAGTAAAAAACAATTGTGATACTCATTACACTAAAAAATAACTAAGCAAATTTGAAAATGCCACAGTGTTTATTGCTTGCGTCATTTTGAAAATATCCGAAAATTACTACTCTTAATCTACACCGAAGAGCCATTACATTGTGACCACCCTCCATCTGTAACAATGGGCTCGCCCAGGTTTTCATGGTTTTTCGCCCAGGAACAATGTTTTCATGGGGGCACATTAGGACCCATAATCCTCATAGAACAATCCCTGACGTCTGTAAGCTCCTTGAACATAGTTGCAGACCAGATTCACCCATTCATGGAAACAGTTTTTCCTGCGGGGGATGGTGTTTACCAACAGGATAATGCACCATGTCATAAGGGTCAAATCGTCATGGATTGGTTCGAGGAACATTCCAGTGACTTTCAAGTCATGTCTTGGTCCCCAAATTCACCTAACCTTAATTCAATAGAGCATTTGTGGTCCTACTTGGAAAATCAAATTCGTGCTGCCACGCTACCTCCTCGCAATGTGAGGGAATTGCAGGACCTAGGTGAGCGCTTGGTACCAGATACCTCAGACTACCTATCAGCACCTTGTGGAATCAATGCCATAGCGGGTGCTAGCAGTTTTGAGGGCTAAAGGTGGTCCTACATGTTATTAGCAAGGTGGTCAAAATGTAATGGCTCTTCTGTGTAATTCTTTTCACCAACAATACACGTTTTTCCACACTTGATACATGTCTATCTACAGTTAATATATGTTTTTTTTAATTCTTTATATACACCCGTTTCACTCTTAATATACGTTTCTTTTACCCTTAATTTTACCATACACTTTTTATATTTATTCGCACTTCATTTATGCATTTCCACACTTAAATGTGCATTTGTCACGCTTTATACACGTTTTTTTCAATCTTAATAAACGCCTTTTCATACTTGATATACGCCTTCCCACACTTAATATATGTTTTTTCACCCTTAAAATACGCCTTTCCAAGCTTAATATATGTCTTTCCACACTTTATGAGTGTCTTTTCAACCTTAAGATATTTTTTCCACACCTAATAAACGTGCTTTCAATCTTAACATATGTCCTTCCACACTTAATATATGTTTCTTCACCCCTAAAATACGCCTTTCCAAGCTTAATATATGTTTTTCTTCACTTTATGAGTGTCTTTTCAACCTTAAGATACTTTTTCCATATCTAATAAACGTGACGTACCTAACATACGTCCTTCTACCTTTAATGTACGTCACAGTTTTAATGTTTAACAATTTTAAGAACAATTTTATTATAATTAATTAACAATTTATTAATCCTAATTTAGTCACTTTATACTCACTGAAAAAAGAATTTTTTTGAAATAATAAAAGGCTGAACAACGTGACTTCAACTCGAAAAGTCTTTTAGTGTCATGGCGGAAAATTCCTTCCGTAATTTTTATCCAGTACTTGTACTCACAATTTTTAAATGAATATTAGTTATATTAAAGAATGCACAGCGCACAGAAAAAAGATATCACTCTAAATAACTTTTGTTTTAATCACATTTTCACGAAGTGTTTCCTTAATGGTTCAGTTAATTATCTAACTAATTAGTTCAAATGACCCAAGTGATGGTAATAAAAATCCATTTCACAATTACTTCTAATATTATAATAATGAAAAATCCAAATCCATCAACAATAAAAAACTATGTTTATTCAGAGAATATATGTTTTTGTGTCTGATATTGTAATATCGTCCATGTTAATTAATAACCACATTTTACGTTTCACGTTTTTTAACCTTTAAGATTAGCAATTAGTTTGCAAAAATCCGGTCATTGGAACAAAAGATATTCAGGATGATATATATTTCTTATTCATGGCACACTACATTACCTCGAGTGTTTCAGCTTCAGAGAACTGACAGAAAAGATGGGCAGACTAAATCAAGTGATGAAAAATCCGAGGGGATGTCAAAACTGAAAGTGATGGAGTTCTCAAAATGCCCACTTGATATCAGTCGAACAGCTGTGTTACCACAAGCCACGGTAATCGGAGTTTCACCTGGAAAGATAATAAATTTAAAAGAAAAATCTAAATTCAAATAGATTCGCGCCGTAAAATTTATTCTTTTCTTCTCTCAAGTAGCTATTTTTTAACAACTCCACTCACTGCTCGCTTCACTCACCTAACCCCGAGGTTACCTCTCATTCTTCGTTGGAGATTAAGCGAGATGAACGGTCTACGTTCTTTTTTTTAAACAAAAATTGCAATTGGATTGAATATTTTTTTTTTTTATGATGACTAAATTTTTACAAATTAATAACATAGAAAAACGGTAATGCACCCTCCCACGAAAGTTGCGTCTCAGAAAAGGTGCACTATGCTATTTAAAAAAAATCCCTTTCCGTGCTTAAATTTGTTTTTTACTAGTGGGCTGCTCCCCCTGCTCGCTAACACTCGCCAACCCCTGAAAATTTCTACGCATTCTCAAATGGTTTGCTTCGCAAACCAAGCTCGCTTCGCTCGCTACTAACTTAGGTACATTGCAAATGCACAAAATTCTAAGAATTCAAAACAATAATTCAAATCCATATAAAAACTTCTTTTTAAAAAAAATTACATATTTTTAGTAAATACTAAGTCCTTAAAATAAATTTGAATTCAAATAAATGACATGTAATTCGTTAAACCTATTAGAAATGTGCTATAGTATAATTCGTAATATAAATCAAAAATCGTCAAATAAATTCGTAATATAAAAATTTTTTGAAAAAAAGTGCTTTCGACAAAATACTAAAATAGAGATCTATCGGCAAAGACTACTCACTTCTGCCCAGGTTAATAGTATAAGATTGCAGCAGCTGATGCTCTCTGGTTATTTCAGTTTCCGTTTTTAAAAGCACTATATGTTGAGCCACCTCAGCTAGATTTGGCATGCGAAATTTTTAGCGTCAATCATTGGTCGATTCGCCATGTAAGAGAAATGGTAACGTAAACAAAACAAAGCAAACGTTGCCACCGGCGGAAATGAAATACACCCAAAATTTGGGAGCCACGTAAGAGAATTATATATATTAGATTTAAAATCAGCTTTATTGGACGTGAACAGTTTTCTCTGAACTCTCGATTTTTGCCTTGGAAAATGCCTGATGTGTTCCTCAGTTAACGTTAACCGGTGGGAACAAAACATTAATGAACAAAACAAAACAAAACTGTGAACAAAAGTCACGGAGGCGAGCAACATTAACCCCAGCACATTGGCCCGTAGACCCGTGCATACCATAGGGTAGGCCACATTTACACATCACAGAACAACACACAGAGTGAAACATTGATTTCCTGAGTGAGATTCGAACCTGCAATCATTGGCTTCACAGTCAGGCACGCGACCTCTCAACCACCTGGTCGGCAGGTGCACATAGATAAACAAGGGTTATTCCACTATCAATGCCTGTTTCAACTTGACGAGCTCAAAAAATTCGTCATTTACACCCATTATTTCCCAAAATGCAATAAAATATCCATTTGTGTTTATTTAAATGCAATTTTATATAATAATTATTAAAAAACGTAAAATTAAAATAATTTATATGAATAAAAATTCGCGTTAAATGCTCACAAGAAGCTCTTATTGGCAACGCAGCCCTAGTGTTTTACAATGACATTTTCGACCCTACAATAATTTGCTTGACCTCATCCTCTTCCAGTTCTGTCCCACTTGTATGAATCACTTTTTATCATGGCTTGTTTGGTAGTGGTTACAATTTGAACTCAGTTTTGTAGTTCTGAAGCTTAATTTTTTTCACTTGCGGCTGCTCAGTTACCAATTCTTGGCGACAACTTTCTTGAAGGTACTGATGCAGAATAACAAAAAAAACAATTACACAATTTCTAAATTAAAAAAACAGAAAAACAAAAACTTACCGTCTCCTTATATACCCTAAACAGTTCAAATTCCTAATGGTAATTACTTAAAAAAATATTGTTTATTAACAGATGAGCGTAAAAATCAGAATTTTAAAAAAAAATGAATATATATATAGTAATTCTCACTATCTCATCACTTTGAAACAGTAGTTTTAATTTCAAATGTGTTAAAAAGAGTTTTTAAAAAAACTTAACTTACTAGGCAGAGATCGCATTCCACAATAGTCGACAGCCACTTTCATAAGATTAGGATCCAAACCATCTCCTCCTCGAATTTCAACGTAATCATGAATTCCTCGTTTCCGGCACTAAAATAAAAATTAAGCATATTTCGAATTTTAGTAATTCAGAATTAATATATTATTAAAAAGAAGCAAATAAGATATAGGACCAACAAATAATCATGTAGTAATAAGACATTCATTAGAAGGTCATTACTGACGTTAGTATATTTACACTGTAAAAAATTCCAGAATTCAGATTAGGGAATAAAGTAACGTCACACTTTGTACCAGTACATTTTTTACAGCAAAGTCCCTTTTTAACGTAAATTTTTACGTAAGAAACAATCTGATAATCTGATATGCCTTAATTTTTAGAGAAATATTTAATGCAAAATCGTTGAATCACTGTAATTAAATAAATATAACAGTAAAAATTACGGTATAAAATTTTACGGTAAAAATGGATTTTTTTGCTTTTTACGGATGCGGCATACAGTATACCAGTACCTTGTGCCATAATTTCATCCACAATTGTTCACAGTATGCATAATGATGTCTTAATGGTTCAAAAAACTTTACATTAAGGAATCATTTGTCAATATTAAAGTATTCAGGGAAAGAAGCGAACAAAAATTAGTTAAATAAATGACATGTAAGTAAAACTAGTAAGAGCCGCTAGTTTAGCATTTTATTTTTAAAAACAAAATTTAAATTATTCATGCAAAAAAAATTTTACGTGTTAGAGTCTTAAAGAGATTCGCAAAAAAAAATTTCGTAACGTCAAAACTATCACGGAATTGTCATTACAAAATAAATTTAAATGCTATTAAATTTGTTAATTAACATTAAATTTATAATACTCCATTAAAACCAGTTTAACATTCGTTTTCTAAATATAAATCAATTTTGAATAAAAGTTCCTAACTCTAACACAAAGAAAAGCCATGTGTACTTTTTCAGATGTAACATAAATTATTTGCGAATAATTATGCAGTATTAGAGAACAAGTCCATTCCTCTCTTTTTCTTTTCTATGTGTCAAGGGATAAAAGAATTAACTATAAATAAAAGTTTTATTATATGTTAAAATGTCTTTCACTACCAAGATAATTTTAAAAATTATCAACACGTTTTCTCACTTTTGCTTAAGAAACCACTAAATAGCAATGCATAAAATAAATAGTTCAGTAATTCATGTTTAAAGAAAATATCTAATTCTTGGAAATAATTACAAATAAAAGAAATCCTTTTTTGCTCTCTAATTTTATTACCTGCCCAGAATTCAATTATGAACTATAAAAACTTTAAGGCAATCATCTGATATTAGACAATGATTAATTATAATTCAATTTTATTGCGTAAGAATTTTTTATTTCTTTGCTTCGTTATTTCTAGAATTAGCTAAATTTAGTTAATTGTCTTTGTAGAAGAATAATCTTATTATTTACAAGGTACGTTTAATATTTTTATGCAATTGCAAAATTTCAATATTTTATATTTAAGGAAATAGCTATCAGAAATTTGATTTTAGTGTTTATTAAAACTCGAAATTACATAAATTATATTGCCTTCCAGATTTAAAATTATTAAACTAGGAGACAAAATATGTGGTTTCAAATTTTAACAAATTCATTGACTGTTGGAAGTTAGAATAAGATTTCGCTAACAGTTTTATTGTTATTTCATTATATCGTAAATTACTCATACACTTAATTGCACAAATTATTTGTCCTCAAATTTTAACGTATATTATTTTTCAGTCATATAAATTCGCTAGTCCAAACACTTTATTTGAATGAAAAAAAATTTATTATCAAACAATTTGCGTCTTGGCGCTCAGTAATAGGCAGCTTTCAGATATGAAACCTATTACATTTTTTACTAATTAAAAAATAATGATCTTAATGATGATGTTAATAATTTGAAAAGAAACACGTTGGCTCTGAGGATAGAGCGTTCGTGGGGACCCAGGTTTGAATCACAGCAATGTCCGGTTGATGCGAATTCTGCTACCGAACGATACGAATTCAAATTCTGATACACCGACCACAGTGCTGACATAAAATTTCCCCAACGGTAATGGGTTCATGAGTTAGAACCTCATTACTTTTTTTTTGCATTTCCCACCTGTGGAATGACCTTTCATCATACAGGCATCTGAAGGGCAGATTTGTTGACCATTCTTACAGGGGCACCATATTAAGTGGGCCAACATACAGAGACAGGACAGATAGTACAGAGAATGAAACAACATCCATGACTTGTCCAGAATAGAACCTCATTACAGTCGGGATAAGTCTGCGAAGATTTCCTACTTTTAATCTCCACAAATGCTGGTAAGATCCACCACTAAGTTCTCTGTGAAGGCTAGTTTGTTCCAATGCTTCATCCAAGAGTTTTCTTGTACTTTAAATTGGATATAAAATTACAAGGCTACGAGGTTGAACGTAGATAAAACTCAAAATCGGGTCCGTTGTTCAACAACGGTAATAAAATAAAATTATTTGAAAAAAAGTAGAGCCCTTGCATATGGCGGTTCAAGCAATCTATAGCTCAAATTAAGTTAGAAAAAAGAAGATGAGAGAATAAATAGGAAAATAGGGCCAAATCAAATAGGGAAAATGGGCTCAACACTAAAATTAGTCAAAATCGATAATCTTCACGCGAATTACTCCTCAATATTTTCAGCAGTTTTTATTTTAATAAACGAAGAAAAATCATAGTTATTGATTTAAACTGTGTTCATTTAAAGCTAACAGTTACTGTTAATGTAATTCACTTTATCTTATACTGTAATTTGAATAATTTAAATATCCCTGGCAAATAGAAGTCACATCGCAGATTTAGTTACCTTAACTCACCTTAATTCATATTTATGGTGAATATTCATAAACCAACGAACTATATCAATTATTGAAATGAGTAGGATAATCAGAAACCCATTCAATTTCATTACCAAATCATTCGAACGAATGTTATACGATATACTCATTATAATTATTCAAGTTCGAATGTTCTCTAATTATATCCGAATGAATGTGTTTGTATTAATTAGAAAATTAATACGACTCCGTTTTAGGGTTACAGATGTGAAAATTAAATAGTAATTTACGTGCTTATAGCTTAACTACTTTTGAATAGCTCATATAGTTATTATACAACTAGTTGAATACCCGTTCTTCATAGCGGGTGAAAAAATAAATAATCTTTAAACCGCTATTAATCAACACTGTGAAATCGTGCACAAAACTGTAAAACAAATACCGACACAATTATTTAAGCTAAAACAATTAGAATTTTTACATTTTATTACTAGATTTTAAATATTATTATTTATTATTAGTATTATGTTATGAGATTAAGTCAAATATATTTTTAGAAGTTCATCCCATCTGAAAAAAATAATTGTATTCAATATCATTTGGCATAATGCCATTGCTCGGGATCAACTCCTCAGTTAATAATTTTCACCGGTAGTTTTCCCTTCTGTTAGACTATATAAACACAGTTCCACAATATGTGCTTATGATAGGTGTCTCGGTACCAATATTATTATACTTAGTACCTATTAAGAACACCAATTAATATAATATCAGTAGTACCAATTACTAAAATTAATTTAGCATCATTGGTGTCAATAATAATGAACGATTTCTAATGGTCTTTCTAGATGAATAAGTACCTTTTCTCCATTATTTTAACTTTTTAGTATAAAATTAATTTTCATTCCAACTTGTACCAATTACTGAAATTAATTAATTGTAATTCTCGAAAATAATTATTAACGTCACTATTACTTTTATAATAATTTTTGGCGAACAAGCTAATATAGGTTTTTTAATTATTTTTGCGAACGAACTAATATTGGTAATTATTTCGAAGGTCGTAAAAAATTGCCAAATTACTATTGGCGCGATTGCTGCTTAATTAATCATGATATTAAATATTGCTGCCATTGCCATTATAAGTACTTTAGTAATGGGAACCTATCATACTAATATAAGTGCTTAATGTATTTATTGTGGTAATAAGTTTTTACCGTTCTCTAAAGCTGATAAGTACCCATCGTCACCATACTACACATTTATGGCATTTAATACATTATCTTTATATTATTATTATTTGTTGTATTTTTTCTGTGTGGCTTAACACTATTATATTTACCATAGTCTGAGTTAGAAGCTCAACTCACCAAATGAAAGTTTAATTATATGGTAAAATTTGAACTGATATTGTGAATTTACCACAATTTTCCCACGGCTTAAAAGATAATTATGAATATATATTATTAGTTATTGTTGAGTTTCCATTATTTCAGTTTATAGAAACCCTCCCTAATTAACGCGTAAATATTAATGTAAGAAACACGATGATTCATATACCCTTTAGAATACTAGAGCGCATGAATTAAGGAGGCCGACACGTCCGCCATTTCGGAGCAAAAACTTTCATCAAGGCTGAAGAGCTACATATTTGGCAACTTATAGCTAAAAGCGACGCCAATCTAAATTAGGATAATTCCTAAAGAAAAAGCTTGTTTGCGTACATCGATTTACTTTGTTTTTCGGAAATCTCAATTTTTTGCTACCATCCTTCCTATTTACTTTAAGTTGGTATTCTACAAAAATGGACATGCAAGAAAACGTGAAATACTGTTTTATATTGTCATAACTAAATTAAACCACATTAAACGATTCAGAGTTTAAATATTTGGCAAACATACTCCCATTAAACTTTTCCACAACAGAAACTAATCATTTCAGAAATTTATCGCAGGAATTTTTTTTAAAAAAAATAAACATTTATAGATCTAAAAACGTATGAAAGATCGCATATTAAATAGATTTCTTATTATTAATGCAAACAAACCGTTTGAACTTTAAGCGATATATTAGAAGTAACTAAAATTTTAAATGAGCCAGGATTAAAAGGATAACTATTTTATAGACGTATTAGTGAATCAAAATGAAGCACAATTAGAAACAGGTAAATATTTATTTTTAACAAAACAGAAGGAATTACTTGAACGTTAAAACAAAATTTGGCGATTCTGAGAGAAGTTTGGTGAATACTTATTCAGCCAATCTCTTGCCTTTATTTATTGGATTTTTGCACATGAACACTTAAAATTATTAAATGTTGTTTAAAAGTCATATTTTAATAAATATTTACTTGATAAATTTAATTTTCTATGAAAATTCTTATATTTAATATATAGTTATAATTGAACAATTCAAGTAACCCATAAAAGTTGTTTGCTTATTCATTTTTAAAGAAACATACTACATACTGTATACTGCATACATAAGTAAATAAATTATAAATAAATGAGTATTTTCTCACATAAGCGAGCTCCACCTCCAGACTGCGAATTATGTCTTCCTCAATTTATTACCCATTTCTTCTTTCTTTCGAGATCTGATGGAAATCTTAACATTAGAAAACCTTTCTTCTTAAACTGTTCACCCAATTCATAGATGCACAATTACCCATATAAATAATTTTAAGTGTCTAAACGGGCTTCAAACTCTCATGCGAATGCTAACACAACGTAACTAGCGAACTTGTTTGCTCCATAATGGCGGACGGTCCAGCTCCCACTATAAGCGAGCCTTAAGACGAGTTCGGTGACGTCATCACCATACGTCATGAATTCGGTTACTTTAATTTTACTTATGATTACCTAGCATAGGAAACCAAGGATAAATAATTCATGAAAACGCGTGATAAGACTGCTTTTGGATTGATTAAAGTTGCAAGCTATAAAAATCTTATAATTTAAAATATTTGACAAATCCTGTGAGAGAAATCCTTTGAGATGTAACGAGCGAGCCAGTGGTCGGGGAGCGTTTTAAATTAGTCAGTTAGGTCCACAGTGTTTTCGTACCTATGTTCACCAAGAGACAATGATTTGGTTCTTCTTTGTTCTTTGCTCATGTGATTTTTATACTCAATAAGAATGGAGAACTGTCATAATTTTTTATAATTTATAAGGAAAAAAATAACTTATTGAAGCGCTTTCAGCCATTAGTTTCTTCATATGTCAATATGAATAATTGCTTATCACAATTTTTTTATGGAAATTATTGTTCTCTATCATGATTAAGCACCTGAGCTAAAATTATCTCTCTTAGTTTCCACAGAACGGAAAACGTGAAGTTAGCTGGAAATAATACCAGATTAAAATGCATGAGGAAATTTGCCATGAATACCATGCATAATTCAAATTAATCTCAATGAATGTTTCACCAAAAAGCTCTTGAATGTGTTTGAAAGCTTTGAATAATGTAATTTAAAAAAATTGTAACTTCTGTTTTTTCGATTATCAACAATAAAATTCAATAAATGCAAAAATGCACATCATTAGACTTTCTAAGGCTATATGAAAAGCGAATTATTCCATGAAAATTAATTTCCAACTATCTTTCATAAAAGGAAAATAAAAATTCCCATTTCTTCATAAGCTGATCAAAATAAAAATGCGTTGCAAAACCAATTAACTAGTTTATCAAGTTTTAAATGAAACTTTAAAATAAATACGAGATAAAATAGAACTAATGAAATGAATTTATTACCTTTGTAAGTAATCCAGTTTCAATATCCAATGTTTTTTGAGGCCATCCACTTTGTACGCCAACTGATGTTGCCAATATATTTACACTCAAAGGAAAAATGACAGATATACTACAATTCGATTTCCGGTTGTAGTTTCTCAGAGTATATGTACCCTGAGGATCTTGTAGAACAGCGTTACAAGCTAAATAAATATTTAAAAAATTCCCTTAACATAAACATTACAACTACATTTACATTTTTTTTTAAATTGAAGAAGTATTTAATGTTAGTTATTTTGAATACACTGATACGATAACAATTTTAAAAAATTTTCTAGTGTAGGAAAAGGAAGATGCTTACGTTTAGGATTGGAATGAAACTTGACATGGACAGAAAAGCCTTGACCCTTCGCAGGTATTCGAAATTCTATTAGACCAACGTTTTGGGACGTCTTGAAATTTCTTCTAGGTTTCATTTTACCACAGAACTCTATAAATCTGTTTTCAGCTCGTACAGGGTGATCTTCTGGACTGGGAAAGAACTGACCATTCAGCTCCCAGCCATCTATAACCTAAGAAATTAAAAACAAGTTTTGTAACATGTCTGTTAATAGTTTGTCACGATTTGTTTTACTTCATAATAAAATTCCAGAATGAATTCACAATTTTACGAGAACCAAATAGAACCAATGGATAAAAGTAAAAAATAGCTATACGAATATTTTTTTATTGAAAAACTGGATAATTAGAATCTAAAAAAAGCATTAATGCTACGAGAGCATGAGTCATGTAAGATAAAAATTCAGATAGAACCAATGGATAGAAGTAAGAAGCTGATATAACGAATATTTGTAATGTAAATACTACGTTATAAGAATCTAAATGAAATCATTAATGCTACGAGAGTATGAGTCATGTAAAATGAAAATTCAGATAGAACCAATGGATAGAAGTAAAAAGCTGCTATAACGAATATTTGTTATGTAAATACTACGTAATAAGAATCCAAATTAAATAATTAATGCTACGAGAGTGTGAGTCATGTAAAATAAAAATTCAGATATAACCAATGGATAGGAGTAAAAAGCTGCTATAACGAATATTTGTTATGTAAATACTACGTAATAAGAATCTAAATTAAATAATTAATGCTACGAGAGTATGAGTCATGTAAAATAAAAATTCAGATAGAAGCAATGGATAGGAGTAAAAAACTGCTACAACGAATATTTGATGCGTAAATACTGCGTAATAAGAATCTAGAAATCATTAATGCTACGAGAGTATGAGTCATGTAAAATAAAAATTCAGATGGAACCAATGGATATGAGTAAAAAAAGTGATAACGCACAATTTTCTATATAATTACCACGCAATGCGATTCGAAAGGAAATTAGCAATGCTTCAAGAATACAAAATAGTTAAACTGAAAAAGCAAATAAAATAAAAAATATATGAAAGATAATTGAATGGTCAAACTTCCGAAAGTGGATGGTAATCGATGACTTATTGATTTCTTGACAGAAAATGGTCACGTTCTTCGTGTCCAAATTTAAGATTAAGTCTCTAGAAGCTAATATAAGCCAGACTAAATTAAAAAATTTGAAAACTCAATTTTGATTTTTTTTTTTAATTTAATCATATTAAGTTAAAATTTACGACACACACATAAGCAAAAACATTCTAAACAAATATTCTGATATGTTATTAGTGTAAAGAAATAGAAAAGGTTGAAAACAAAGGTTGTAGAAAGGTTGAAAACTATTTTAGCAAAAGAGGTGAAGAATTTATTTCAAAATATGTTCTCGTTAGCTAATACAATAATACGAATTAAATAAAATAACGCTTTCAACTTAGTAGACTTTTGTTATCTATGTTTGTTTTTTTTTGTAATGAAATAACTATCAAATGATGAAGAATCTCCGAAATAATAGTTTTATGTATTACAATATATTCATTTTAAGCAAATGCAAATAATATTTCAAAATATACTTCACTTTACTGGCCGAAAATTATCTGTTCTACACATTACCTCCCATTTGAGAACTACCCATTGTAACAAAGCAAACTTCTTAAATAACCGTTAATCTCTTGTTTGAAACTTTTGCAATTATTTTTATTTGATGAAATTTAAGATCCTCTTTCAAACTAAACCACAAATTTTCATTTGAAAGCAGATTTATATCCTTATGTAATTACATTTTGATTTCAGAGAACAAATATTACTTGAATTGAAAGAAGATTTCAAATGAAATCTGAAGACTTAAGTTGTTATTCCTTAAACTTTTCACAGCATTTTGTAACAGTTTCTTTCTGCTAGAAAGATTTTACAGCAAAGCACTGTTCAAGTTTTCTTAAGATTTCAGAATTTTTACGTCTACAAATTAAATGTTTAGTTTATATTTTTAAGAAAGTATGGAATTTTGAAATTGATAAAATAATAGATAGATTACAGTGAACTAAATAGCAGTTTCTCACTGAAAAACAAAATACTCCAAAAGATGGTTGTTTTAATTTATATCCGATTTATTTACATGCTTTTATAATTAAATATAAAATTAAATTCTTAAAAATTAATTTATCGTCTCTGTTATGGTATAAGAGATAAGACTGCAAATTTTAGAACAACTATTGAAATTTCTGTAACCATTTTTATAAATATTTCTGTATTTTGTGTATGTATTACTTAATGTTTCCTTTTAGTAAACTGCAAACATAATTTTGTTAAATATTCCAAAAGGGCATACTAGGGTATCAATAATTGAACAATGAGTAAAGTTTCTGTTACCATTTTCATAAATAGATTTGCTTTTAGTAAATGTTTAATTTAATTGTGCCTAATGTTTCCTTTCAGTCAACGGTGAACATATTAATTTTTAAGGATTCTTAACGTATATCCTAGGAAGTTAATTAAATAATAACTAGTAAATTTCCCTTGACCATTTTTATTAATGGCTATGTATTGTATAGATGTTTATTTTAATAGTACCTGATGTTTCTTGTTAGTCAACTGCAAACTTAATTAAGTTGAGGTATATGTCAGATTAATTAAGGTAAAAGTATATGTCAGATTATCAATTATAAAACAACCAGTAAAATTTATGTAACCATTTTTATAAAAAGATATGTAGGTTGTAAATGCTTAATTTAGTGGTACCTAATGTTTCCCATTAGTCAACTGCAAACACAATTTTCAAGGATTAAGCGAATATACTAGGATGTTAATTACAGAACCACTAGTAAAATTCCCGTAACCATTTTTATAAATATATATGCAATTTACTATAACTTAATAATTTTTGTATGGATTTTAAAATTATATGTTAGGAGTTAATAATAGAATAACTAGTAAAATTCCTGTAACCTAATTTTAAGACATACTAAAAATGCTTAATTTTATTTTAATTTGAAATAATTTAAGTTTTGAATTAAATAAAAATAAAAATTATGAGTGTCAATATAATAATAAATCTAATTTATGTCGTAAATAACTATTTGTATTATGATAATATTGAAACTGGCTTACACTAAGCAAACCTCCTTTGGTACAAGAAATATCAAATGATTGAAATTCAAACTCCACTTGCTTGTCTGCTTCAGCTATCATGTACAGACCACATACTTGTTCTCCTGTACCAGGAGAATTAAATGTATAAATGCCTTCTTCAGACTTCACAAAGATGCAAGCTGAAAAATAAAATGGAATACTTAAAAAGTTATTTCAAAGGGATTCTTATTTTCATTTTATACACACTTCACGTAACTTTCATGTACTTTGCTCTCTTTATGTTAATCAACTTAACCAAAGTTCATTTACATACAGTGTAATACAAAGTACAGTGTTTGAAGTAGTAAAATCATTTTTCAAATATCGAAAGTAGTAACAGGGTCAATCAAACATTATCTATTACAAAGGTCTAATTATCTATTATAAAGGCTTAAAAGGAGCTTGTTGTAATAGTTAAATCTAGACTGAGAAAAAGTTATGGCTTAAACTACCAGAATATGGTAAAATGTAAATGTTTTGGACTCTATGAGAACACCAAAAAGTTGGTAGTTTTTACCGAAACGCTTTGGAAGAAAATTTGGTAAAACTAACAATAAAATGCTTCTATAAATATGATAAAATTTGGTAAATGTGGTAACAATTGGTAATTTTATACCGTTATATCTTAGACCATTTATTCAGTTAAATGTATCTTTCAGTTTTGTATTTTTTGCTAAATGCGTGGATTAAGAATTATAATTTTTAAAAACAAAATTTCCAGTTAACCGTTACCATAAAGCAAATATTGCCAAATGCTGTGATTTAAATATTGAATATTTTAGCCTTCTTTAAAAGAATCATGCGTTTTACCAGAATTGATTTTACCATACAGTATGGTAATTTCACTAGATTTTTCTCCTTTTAATTGATATATTTTTAGTATAATCTTGTCGGAATTTCACAAAAGCGAGAAAAAAAATACATCAACACTACTTACTTATAATCGGAGGAAACTACGCAGAAAATCCGAAGTTATATTTTTTTATAAATTTAATGCTAAATAACGCATAAAAGAATAACTATAACAGAATTTAGCTTGAAAGATATACTTATTACAGAACAATTTGACGATATAGGGAAGGCATTTTGTAATGCGACCTAGTATTTCAAGTCTGAATGATCACCTTAGCAAAGAAACATACGCACTTCCCTGCAGACAACAAGTTAAGGGTTCTATCCTCTCTGTTGCCACATATACCTCTTAACCCTACTCAATGGTAGGGTGCACGTAATGAACTTACAAAATATGAAATTGGGTTTCCTTTATATGGTATTTCGCTTAATAAAGTTTCTCTTGTATTGATAATGCGTTAAGCATGGACCATTTACCCAAATTAGTGTCTTATAATTGATATCTAAGCGGTAATAATGAAAAAAAATATAATAAATTTGCAGAGGCGAGCCGTGATGACTCAGGGAATAGAGCGTTCGCCTTCCAATGAGGTGAACCGGGTTCGAATCCCAGCTATGGCTAGTCGATGTGAATTCCGCATCCAGCTTTCACAAACCACAGTGCTGACGTTAAGCATCCTAAGTGGTAGAAGAATCATGGGTTAAAGTTGTCTTGCCGTCTGTCAAACCGTGGGAGGTTTTCGAAGTTTTTCTCTCCATGTAACTCAAATGCTGGTTAGTTCCATCAAAAAGTCCTCTTTGGAGGCAAATTTCTCCCAATACTTGATCCAGGAGTTCCCTCGTCTTCTGGATTGAGTTCAAAACTACAAGGCTACGGAGTTGAACATTAGTAGTCGTAAGCCCGAAAATTGGGTCCGCTGTTCAACGACGGTTATAGAACAAAAATAAAATATAGGAGGGCAAATTCACTATAGTATTCACTTTCAAGCGTATAACTGTTTTTAAGTTCAAGCTTGATTCTTTTAAGACTTATATTGATTAGAAACACTAATACAACCATTGACATAAATTTTTTTAAGTAAACTAGAATAGAAAAATTGGGTAAAATGTTTAAGAAACCAAGTTTAACCAAGTTTGTCTTAATTTTAGCAAATGGTTTTCTCACATTTTGCATATGAATGACGCTCAATATGGAATGATACCAAATTTCGGGATGATTATAAATAACTAATGCTAATAGGGATAACTATCGTTTCATATTACACAAATATTATAGACAAGACAAATATTTCAGATTATGAAAGATAAAAATATGCTAATTAATTATAGTCACTTTTACAGTAAAATTTTATTTAAAATAGATATTGATTTATATTCATTAAAAAAATATTCATTAATATTCATAAAAAAAATTTTCATTTATATTCATTAATATAAAATAAGTATTCCATTAACATGAAAAAAAACCTCATCCTTTTTTTTGGAAGAAAACAAAACTAACACATTCATGTAAGTTCAATCATTAGTATTCCGTAGAATCATAATAATAAATCAACATTAACTTATGAAGTTTATAAACTAGATAAAAAGTGAAAATGAGCTATGTGGCAACGAAATTCCTTTCCCGTAAAGGAACAAGTGCAAAAATTAATTTCTTTTTTTCAAATATTAAAATATAGTCACTTTTATACGTTTACATTTGATAAGTGCTATTTTTAAGAGTTTTAATTTTTAAAAATGCCTGAAGAATCTTCAAAAAAAAATAATCTTATCTTTTCTTATCTCATCTTAAGAATTTTATCCTTTTTTAAGGAAGTTTACCCAATCTTTACTTTTTTTAGGTATATACAAATCTAACCATGACCCCCAGGTACTCCAATCGCCAGTCTTATTTTTTCAATTGTTTGTTTTTCTTTTTGTTGTTGTTGTATATAATGATATTTGGGCTGGTCAAGCTCGCCAGTCATCGGTCTTCTGCGAAGTGCCTTCCGTTTAATGAGAGAGCACCGTAAAGGTGAAAGTACATCTTGACGCAGAACCCCACGGATAGATGACAGCACCACTCATTCGTGAGACCACTTCCTCAATTTAGTCATAGATCTGAAAGGAAGAAAATTTTCTCCAGACGCCTTTACTTATGATACTGGTCAGCTACCGATCACTGGACTTTCGATCCCACAGTCTTTACAAGCACGTACTTGGCATGTATTCGGTGGGTTTTTGCAGAGTTGAGGATCGAATCTCTGCCCATTCGGACTGGAGTTTGATTCACTAACCACTCTACCACGGCCTTTTTTTTTCTTTTTTGAAACCAAACGCTATGTGAGCTTACTAGGAGTACTTGAGTAACTAAAATGATTTAAGTTTGAGACAATTACGGCACTAGTGTCATCAAACTTCATATCTGATCCACTTTGATTTTAATGGTAGTATATTCTAAAATTCGAATGAAAAATGGAAGTTTAAAATTCATTTAGTTTCAAACAAATTTTAGAAAAAATAAAAAAGGTTTAGTCGATTATTATATAAGTTACTCTCTTCATAACTATTTTAGAAACGAAAAATTATTGAATATAAAATTATATTTGTACTTTTTTCCTGAATTTTACTTAAGAATTTAATAGTTATTTTACTTTTCTGCCAATTTCACTTAACTATTTCCCTAAAGAAGTTAAATCAGTTAGATATTTTTGAAATGTTAATTTAATTAAGCATGACGTAAAATATTTATGACACTCCGTTGGGCAATTGTTTGTCCAATTCCTAATTAGAGTTTCACTAAATCACCTGTTATTCTCAGATCTCTGCTTCCAAGACTACCTTAGCTGTAAATTTAAGCATTTATTAGAGATGATTCCTAGAGGAGTATAACTTGATTTTACTCCGGCAGAATATTTAATAGCTCTAATCGATTCCGAAAACTCCGAATTCTTGTGGCTTGAAATTAGATGAAGGCGTAAATAAACTAATTCATGTCATCTTTAATTTCAGACATTAGCCTTAAATGCTCGTTTAAAGAGTTATAACTTCCATTGCGACTTCAACATTTTATAAGGGCATTGTGTTATTTGTTTTTCAAAGCTATCTAAATTCTGATAAATACTAAATTGATATATGTGTACACTGCTCGCTATGCTTACCAACTACCAGAACTGCTTCCACAGTTTCTTTCGGATTGCTTTCTCTCTATCGCGAATTTGAATTCTCTTCTCTCGCTCATTGAAAAATTTTGTTTTTTAGTTACTCTCTCTCCATCGTGAATTTGAGTTCTCTTCTCTCGTTCATTCAATATTTTTATATTTTAGTTGCTCTCTCTTTATCGTGAATTTAAGTTCGCTTCTCGCGCTCATTCAATATTTTTGTATTTTAGTTGCTGTCTCTCTATCGTGAATTTGAGTTCTCTTCTCTCGTTCGTTGAATATTTTTATAGTTTAGTTGCTCTCTCTTTATCTTGAATTTAAGTTCTCTTCTCGCGCTCATTGAATAATTTTGTACTTTAGTTGCTTTCTCTATCGCGAATTTGAATTCTCCTCTCTCGCTCATTGAATATTTTCGTATTTTAGTTGCTCTCTCTCTATCGTGAATTTGAGTTCTCCTAGCTCGTTCATTGAATATTTTTATGTTTTAGTTGCTCTCTCTTTATCGTGAATTTAAGTTCTCTTCTCGCGCTCATTAAATAATTTTGTTTTTTAGTTGCTTTCTCTATCGCGAATTTGAATTCTTTTCTTTCGCTCATTGAAAATTTTTGCATTTTAGTTGTTCTCTCTCTATCGTGAATTTGAGTTTTCTTCGCTCGCTCATTGAATATTTTTGTATTTTAGTTTAGCTTTGTATGTATGCTAGCAATCTATTAAAATGCTGAAAATAAGTTCTAAAAATATGAAGCATATATATCCTCTGAAACCTTTGATTTATATACAAACATTTTGGTACAATTGCATATTCCAGAGACGTAAAAACCTATTTCCACGTTATGTAGGTAAGTAAAAAATATATACTTTAAAAATGCTTGTAGAACAGATTACGAAAATTATTAAATTTAATTGGCGTCGTTAATGCACTGCTATAGTACATTTTTTGAGGTTTCTTATAATACAAATGAACTTAAAAAGTTATAACTTCCATTGCGACTTCAAAAGGGCATTGTGTTATTTGTTTTTCAAAGCTATCTTAATTCTGATAAATAATAAGTTGATTAATGTGTGTACTAGGGATTCACATACTACTCACTATGAATGACAACTACCAGAACTGCTTCAACATTTTTTTTTCGGATTACTTTGTAATTTGAGTTCTCTTCGCTCGCTAATTGAATTTTTCTTTTAGTTTAGGTTTGTACGTATGCTAGCAATCTATTAAAATGAAGTTCTAAAAATATGAAACATATATATATCCTGGGAAACCTCTGATTTATATACAAACATTTCGGAACTATTACATATTCCAGAGACGTAAAAACCTATTTCCATAGTATGTATGTAAGTAAAATATATATATACTTTAAAAATGCTTGTAGAACAGATTACGATAATTATTAAATTTAATTGGCATCAATAATGCACTGCTATAGTACGTTTTTTGGCTTTTTTTCAAGTTTCTTATAACACGAATGAACTTAAAAACTTTGATGCAGCAAACGCTTCTAAAAAAGATTTACATAAAAACATAAATAAAAGGATGAGCTTTCTTTCTTACAGTATTTCTCTTAATTATCTTTTTACAAAAGATGAAAAATCTTATGCTTTCTGAATTTCTCGCTTTAGAAATATTGCAAAACTTATTGAATTTTTATTTATGCAACTGTGCAAATGTTTCTTTGGAAATTCGTAAATTGATACCAAATAATCTATTTTCTAGAAAAAAATGATGTTTACGTTTTGTATCTAATACTTATTATAAAACTTGATTCTCGAAATCCATCAACTATTCTTCGATATCAATGCACTCAATTCAAAGGATATGTTTATTTAAAGAAATAAAGTTTACAAACTTTTTCGAATAAAATTTCAATTGCAGTTTTCTTTTTCTTAAGAAATCTGTTTACATTGTCCGTTTCACGAGAAGGTAATTTTACATTTTCGATGAAAGATGCTAGTGTTTTTTTTATTAATATTATTTATATAATTTTTCAACTTTCTGAGACTGATGAATCCCGTTTATAAAGAATAAACTTTATTGATTATTTATTCTCTCTGAGAAATGGAAAGGTAAATGGTTTTGACATTTATTATTGTAGTTTTTTCGTTTGTTTAAATTAATATAAGGACGTTAAAGTAAGATTTTTCAATGCAATATTAAATAATATTTACTTATTGAATTTTTTCACTTGATTACCGTATATTTTGTAAAATGTTGTCTAATACATTTTAAAAATATGCCGACCAGACTGTGTTGGGTCAGGGAACTGGCCTCGCATCAGAAAGGTTCTGGGTTCGAATCCCGGACATGGAGGTTTTTTCAATCTCTGTAATATCTGTCCTTTACTGTAGGAGCAACGTTGGCCCATCTAATGTGGTGCCCCTGAATTAGTGGCCAACAAATCTGCCCTTATACTCTTGAATTCTCGAATGTAAACACAGGTGGGCATTAGAAAAAAAAAACATTTAACAAATATGTTGAACCAGAAAAAGCTAGTAAAGTTAAGCGAATGTAATATTTTTTTGAATTGAGTAAACTAAAATGTACAACTGACTGGCATGGTATTACAATAAATTGTTTAACATTTAATCTTCATGGCATATTTCAATGAATTAGATAAAGATTTCATAAATAATGAAAAACTTACAAAATTATGTGTTTAAGTGGATTAAAGAGGAGAAAATAATTTTGTTTTTGTATGACCTGAAGTGAAAAACGTACGTGGCATCAAATTCGAATGACTTTAGGACAGAGAGAATTTGTTGTAGGGCCTTTGGTTTTGTTTTAGTTCTGATAAAAATTAAGTTATTTTTTTCCCTTTTATTCACTTGAAAAACACAGTTCTTAACATTTCTAATGTATTAATTTCTTATTTTAGTTTTGTGTCTGTTTAATTTGCTTTGGTCGTAAATTACACAAAATAGAGTTTGATGATATATATTCTTTTTGTCAGTAAAATGTTGATAAATGTTTATTGTGGGTAATAATACAATAATAATATGCTAGACAATAATGCAAATTCAAAACTTTAGTAACCTAATGAGTGAAGCTTAAGAAAATAACCTAAAACAATAAAACCTTTGTTGTCATTAGTACAAAGCTTATATTAGTAGTATATTTGTAGCAGTGCACATTTGTAGCATTTAGCTCCTTAGTGTATATTTGTAGCAGTTAGGTAGATATTTGGAAATGTATTATTGCCAGACACAGAGCTAGGCAAAAATGTAAGTTCAAAACTTTATTAACCTAACGAATGAAACTTATTTGCAGAGGAGCTTAAACTTACTTACAGCGGAGAGGAAACTTATTTACAGAGGATTTACAGAGGAGCAGTTGAAATTTAATCACTTTAGCTAGTTGGAAAAAAGTGTGAAGCTATTTGACAAAAAAAAGAAAAGAAAAGATAGAAAATGTGTAGTAGTTAGGTAGACAACTGAATTTGCAATATTACCTGGCACGAAGTCAGGCAATGATATAAATTCAAAACTTTCATAACCTAACAATTGAAACTCAAACGGATATTATAAAAAAAAGTAAAACTTTTATTGTCATTAGTTGAAGAACAGCATTTTAAATTTAACCACTCTAATTAGTTGGAAAAATGTTTGAGACCATTTGGAAAAAAATCTAAAGTACGTTTATAGCAGCTTGGTAGATATTTCCATTTATATCATTGCCTGGCACGGAACTTGAATAAATAGTCCATTAGATTGTCAAAACGCAGTTGGAACTTTGATTGCAAAATCTCACCCTTGTTATAGAGAGAGTTATTTGATAGAGAAGTTAATAAAAGCGTAGGGAGAAAGATAGGTTAACAATATTTCGATAAAATATAATGACTTTGCATATTGCCTAATACTTTAATTGTATTTGATTTTATTATTATGAACTTTGGTTTCATTTTGCAATATCAATATACTCACTTCCTGTTTCATCCAATTCTAGTTGAACATTTTCAAGTAGATTCATTTCTTCTTCTAATTGAGCTTCATCAAACTAAAATAGAAAAAAGACGAAAGTAGTAAACAGACACATTTTGTTGTCGATAAACTAATTAAATGATGGTTTTGAAATTAATAGCACTTGTTTCAATTGTTGCTTTTGTGGCGATTTTCTCGATTATGAAAAAAACAGCTTGAATTTTGAAAAAAAATTCATTAAAATGTTTTTTTTATTTGTAATTTAAGTTATTCCTTAAAGTGGACCTAATTCATATTAATTATATTATACTCGTTATCTTCTACACTGCGCAAAATATTGTAAAATCATGACAATTACCTATAGCACTTTAAACATATGATACATAAAATACAAAAGTCCTTTTACAAAGTACCCTGAAAATGACGAGTTTATTTTTCTAAAGAGTTCAGGCAACCACTCATTATTTTTTTTTATTTCCGTTTCGCAGAACGAATTTAAGTGGATTTTTCTTTTAAGTATTCATTTTAAAAGTATTCTTTTTCAAAGAAGAAGTACTATTTTTAAGGAATTGGAAGAAAACATTTATTATTATTTTGTTAACTATTTAAGGGTTTTATGCGATTATTAAATATTTGTTAAAAATGTCTCGAATAATAAATATTATAATTGTATATCATGATAGTCAACAAAATGCAAAATTTTTTCGAGGTATACAAGTTATTTCAAATAAGTTGATCCTAGATTAATCAGGATTGTTGGGAAATGTCTCTTCCCGATTAAGTGAGTATCCCAATTAATAGAATTCATGCAAATTTCGCTTTTAAAAAAATTTAAAGTATTGAAGAAAATGAAAAAAAAAATTTATACAATAAAATAGCAATGATTTTATTAATACTTAAAGAAAAGAAAGAACCTAAATTTTAATGTTATATTTAGGTTTAAAACTACTTGTAATACGATAAAGAAAAAAAAAGAAAGGTAGTTTACTGTTTTTTGATGAAAGAAATAAAGATAGAATTGTGAAAGTACTTGTAATACGATACAGAAAAAGAAAATAGAAGGGTAGTTTACTGTTTTTTGATGGAAGAAATAAAGGAAGAATTGTGAAGGTAGTGGTTATCTCAGATTATACTCTAGCCATTTTCTTTTGAGGGAGGTGGTTTTTCGGTTTATGAAGAGTCAACAGTATTAATTCATTTAGTTCGTTCCCGGGCTGTGGCTGAAAGGCAGTAGAGTGGCTAAGACCCAGGAGAATGCTTTAGTGCGGAAAAATTGCGTATTGTAATAAGAATAAAAACGTCATAAAAGTTTGTAAAAAATTTTAAGATCTTCCTTTTGCCCATTTCACTGAAAATCAATAAAAACTTGAAAATTTGTTTAATTTGTCTAAAGCTTTTGAAATAAACTCACTTTAGTTTTTTTAAATTTTTTTATGGCTTTCAGAACCTAAATAAGTTAAATTCTGATCAATGATTTAATTTTTGGTTTATCTTAAGTAATTTTATTCGGTAAGCTACAGAATCATGTTTAACAAGAAATCTTTGAAAATCACTGTAAATATCATACCACACAAAAACATTGGATAGTTGAACGGGTAGTTTATAGATGGAGCTGGACATGCAACCACGTTCATTATTAGTTCCTGAATTTGGGCATGTCTTTCATGATCTTTAAGTCGAACTTTTGTTGATTGTGCGCAAGACCACACTGATAAGAAATTCGATTAATACTCCAGGTGAGCAATCGAGTCTTTAAAACTGGAGGAACTTAAATTGTTTACTGGAAGAAAAAGATTTTAAATACGAATTTATCTGTAGACTGCTTTTTTTTTGGATAATAAGGTAAAACTATCAAATTGTTAAAGTTTGAATTAAGGAGTTTATCGAATTAAATAATTAATTTTCTATGCATGGAATCAACAGTATAAAAAAGAAATCCACTGTCAAGAGCGATAACTTTAAGGTAAAGGAACTCTTCGTTGAGGTTGTTATTAGTCGAACAAATTTCAGAATCACGATAAGGGTTCTAAGGACAGCTAATTTTCGATTAAAGAGATGAAAGGAAAGGTTATAAGGAGGAATGAAATTGCAAACGGTTTCCGATTAATAGCAGTGGGCAATTAAACACAATTATGAGCAATGAAAACATCTGAGAAAGTTAAAGTTTTTGTTCACACGTGAATTGAATGAAAGGTTCAATATAATCGTAATGTATTATAATTCAATAATATAAATTTTATTTTAAATTAATATTTGAATAAAAAACAACAAGTGTTTAATATATTTTAATAGTAACGTAAAGATAAGATGTAATCTTGTGATAATATAAAAAGAAAAAAAGGACCAAGGAAAATCGTAAGTCGTTTGATTGTTTATTATAACCGGCATTAAACAGTCGAACCAATTTTGAGCTGACTACAATCAATGTTCAACTTCGTAGCCTTGTACTTTTGAACTCAACTCAGAAAACAAGAGAATTCCTAGATCACGCATCGAGACAAACTAATCTTCATGGAAGACTTTTTGATAAAACCTACCCGGCATTAGCGTTACACGAAACCATGTAATCTCCTATGGTTAGCCTAACGGTAAAGGAATTCGAACCCATGATCCGTCTACCACTGAGGATATTTTACGTCGGCAATATGGTCGATGCGAGTCAGAAACAGAATTCGTAACAACCAGACACATCTGGTTTTGGAACCTCACTCATTGGGAGGCAAACACTCTATCCCCTAAGCCAGCGCGACTGTTCATCGCTTGTTTGTGCGAATAAAATGAAAGAAGAAGACAAAATAATACATCCCGTTATTGAAGTTCCAACGTCAAGCGCATCACTGTAAAAATATTTCTCANATAATGTTCTATGTAAAATATTAATAATTAGGTGATATTATACAGCATTATTGTTTTCACGCAGCAGAAACTGGTTTGCATTTGTTTACGTTCGTGTATCAATTGGGGTTAACATTGTCATGCAATACGTTAAAAATAAATACAAATATGAAGTATATAAAAAATTTCCGGAATAAAAATCCATTACATGTATGCTTAAATATAAAAGTATTGCATATACACTTAAGCAAAACATTCAATTATTAAAACAATACAGTACGTCTAATAATTTGGTCTAATTATTATAGATAATATACTAATATTATACCTGATATAATAAATATTCTATATTTATGCAATATATCGTCGAAATTATATTGTATATCGTCTAATTTAACCAATTGATACACGAACATTAACAAGTACCATCCGGTTTCTGTCGAGAAGAAACAATAAAGCTGTGTACACTTCACCAATTCTTAATTATTAGGTGATACACCTAATAATTAAGATTTTACTAAGAATCTTATAGCGCGTCTATTAATTTGTCCAAGGGACTGTATAATAAATGGTCTTAATGCATTTATGCACACGGTAAATCGAAATTCATAAATAACTGGTTAAAATCGTCTGATTTTACTGTTTTATGCATGAAAAGAGTACAAGAGCAATGTCCGGTTCTTGCACTAATCGAAGCAGTTATATTGTCTACAGTCAAAGATGCAACTACATAAAAGAAAAGAAAAATTTGACTACCTCAATTTTGCACCACGCTTAGCATTTTTTTTTATCAACTCGTAATTAATAAAAAATCCTTATTTAACTTTTGTGTTAAAAATACTCCAATTGATATTAATTTCACACAAAAAATTTTCGTGCAATACTTAAATTGATTTGATTAAATGTGAATTTTTACTCAATCGGGTCTGTTTGCTTGTTTGTATTTTATCTCTAAGGGTTCTATGTATGGACACTAATATTATAAAATATAATTTCGAAAAATTTATTATGATAGACAATAAGTTAATATTTAACCACGTTGTCTTAAGCGCCTTGATGAAATTCGGTGTGAAATTTACAATTCCACGTTATTTTGCAAATGGTACAAAATTACAATTCACTATTAAGACATAAACAGATAAATGAGCTTATTTGTTTCTATCTTCTCTTCGAATTGCCGACGAGCAATTGAATCAATTCTTGTTACAATTTGAACGCCCAAATGAAACTCGTATTTTCATCTCGAGACTTGGATGTGTGAAGCCTTTGAATAGCTGCGGTTATTGTCTTGGAGAGATGAAATTCTCAGAGACAAAACGTTTCCTGGGAACAACGAACTCGTAATTTTGCCGTGCTGAGATTGTTATTTCAAATCAATACCTTCATAAGATTTGTGTATAAATAACTCTGACTCACGGAGCTTTCAGAATAAATCATTTTATTCTGATGTATACAGTCTGTTTAGTTTGAAATAAAAATATATAAAAAAGGAAATTTCATAAATTCTCGAATAAACAAATTATAATACTCTAATTTTTTTCATTCAACTAAAAATTATATCGGGTATTCTATGTCGCATATGTGCTTTGATTTTTAATACAATTTCAATTTCCTTATTAAACATTTTACAAAAGTTATCATCTAGTTGTAATAGTAAGTATATATTGTTTTCTGTTATTGTCAATACTAGTGAACGAGATAGGGAAGATGGGGGCTACTTAGGACATGGGGCTAAAGTGAACATCTAGAAAAACTTTTTTATTTATTGATCAAACCTCCATTGTTAGATATCGTAAATTGGAAACACTTGTGTTCACTTTCATGTGCAGTTGATAATGGATAATCACGCTGCGAATACTTTAGGAGAAAATTGCAAAAGAAGAGATTTTAGGGTACAAAATAAGAACAAACTCGTATACAAAGATAACTTTTTTTGTATAAATGAAAGAGTGCGTCTTATAAAATTATAATTCAAAAAAATATTGAGTACATCTTTCAAAATGGAAATAAGCAATCAAGTCGTTCAAAATGGAAATAAACAATCAAGTTTTAATTTTTAAAAAAATACTAGATGAGTTCAAAATGTTGATTACACTATTAAAATAGGTTTCTCAAAATTGGGCATAAAATGTTTCAAAATAACTTCCAAACAAATGATAGTCGATTTTGAAAACCCCATGTTTTCAAAACTGCAACAGCATATACTCAAAATTTAAGTGGAAGGAGCAATGTGTGAGAAAG